AAAAAAAAAAAAAAAAGGCAGTAAAATTGGGGAAGAAGCGCTGCTTGGATCAGCTCCACTTCCTCTAAGTAGCATTTAGGAAGCCACAAGTTAGGTCAAGGCAGCTCAAGGAAGATATTGGAATTCAATTAAAGCCGACGAGTGGGGCCTGTGACCCCCATTTTCAAGGTAATTGCTTCTCAGGCTCTGAGTGAATGTAGCTGTCCCCCTGTCATTAAGCACGCAGTCCTCTAATCGCTTTGCCTGACAGAGCCTCCTCGTGAGGCAGGAATCACGGACAGCTGAGGCCACCATGCTGGGGAGCCCTGCTTGACTGCACCGAAGAAGGAGGCAGCTAATCGAGTCAGGGCATTCTTTATCTCCTCCGGGAGGGGAGGAGAGAAGGGGGCGGACGGGAGAGCCTGGGAAGGTCCAGAGCAGAGATCAGCGATCTAGAGCAAAGGTCAGAGATCAAAGATCAGAGACCAAAGGTTGAGAGCAAAGATCAGAGATGGCGCTCAGAGAGCAGAGATAAGAGATTGAGACTAGAGACCAGAAGGGAGAAGGAACAGAGACCTGAAGGCTCCAAGCAGCAACTAGTGGCTGTTTCCAGGCATCATGAGATGGATGCAGCCTGGTAACCTGGCCTAGAGGTTAGCAGGGCGTTAGGCAAGTCTCCCATTCCCGCAGGCCTCAGTTTTCCTACTTGGGAAAGACGGAGTAGGCATGCTTCATGTGGCGTGCCTGTCCCGGTCAGTAGTTTAGGGACCCTCTTAAGTGCAGGATGAAGAGTCTGAGGTTGTGCCCATAGGTAAAGGGGTTAGATACCTCTGGCAGGGGTGTGGATGTTGCCAGTGGCCTGTTGCCATGAAGATTGGTGTCTTTCTGGGGTGTTCTCACCGAGAAAGGCTGGGTCCAAGGTCAGGATGGTTTGTGAAGAGAGAGGACAAGGAAGGAGGGATGAAGGGAAGGATAGCTTGCTGGCCGAGCCTTTCCTCTCCCTTGCTGGTCTCCAAGAAGTTGTGGTGGGCCCAACACTCGTCTCTTTTATCTGGGGCCTGGCAAAACCAACAGAGACTCAGTCCTTGCAGAGCTGCTACTGGATCCTGCTCTGATTTCCGGGATCCACGATTTTGCAGGTTCCTTAGTGTGATTCTAGAGCCGGTGTGCTATCAACTGTTTCTAGAACCCTCTTTTTAGGATGTTTTGTGATGGACCTTGGACTGGGAAGTGGAGAGATGTTGTAAAGTGTTAATTTGAATTTTTTTTTTAAGGTAAGGGGGAGGAAAAGGGAGGTTATAGCTTGTCACAGACTACATAGGCAACATGAAGCCAGGCCAGAGGCTCTGACGTGCACTGCAGGCGCTCCAGGGTGGTAAAGAGCTGGATTCCTAGGGAATCTGCTGGTGACAAGACTCCCTTAGACGCCCATCAGTGGTTTTTTTTATACTGGGGATTGAACTCAGGCCCTAGCACTTGCAAAGCAGGTGGCAGAACACTGAGCTAAATCCCCAGCATGGTACTTGGGCTCTGACTGCTGCTAACTTAGGGGAGTTGCTCAGCTCCAGGAACCCGCACCCCATCTCAGGTGTGGGGCTCACAAGCATAGTTGTGAGTTCTGCAAGTTAATGCCAAACCCCAAAACTGATACCCATGGGGGCCCAAGGAGCCATGTGAAAGGAAGATTGCTCTGATACTTGGAGGCCCTGGGCTATGCCCTTTCCTTGGGGGCCAAGAGCTGTTGACTTTCTGCATTAGGACCCTGTGTTTGTGTCTTCTGGTGGGAGCCCTTGGCCAGTGTGGCCCTGGAAATGTGGCAGTGAGACAGTCACTAAGTTGAACCCACAACTGAAGCTCCAGTATGAAGCATTAATTAGAAAAGCTAGCCGAGGCATGGAGTGTGAGGTATGCAATCCAGGAACACCGTGCACCTGTGCATGAGACCAGGCCACAGCACTTGGCACACGTGGGGAGGAGGAGGACTTAAGGACTCCCCAGAGGACACATGGTGATGTGTTTTGTTCAGGTATGACATGCCCAAGGAGGGAGGAGTGGGCTTGGTTCCAGGCTTTTGTCCATTCTTTGGGGGTAGGCGTGGAAGAGGGAGTCTCCCTGACTTCCTCACACGTTGCAGAGGGAGAAGTACCTGTTCCAAGTGCTGTTGTAGGTGCCTGTGATTGGCCTCGTAGAGGAGGTCTCAGGTCAGGAGGTGATTGGTCACCTTTGGACAGAGTTCTCTGCTGACTTCCGTGGGCCACATTTCACTCAGAAAAAGTTGTACAGGAACCATGCCAGGCCCGTGAGAGATGCAAGGATGCAAAAGACGGGACCCTGCCGTTCTGAAACTCACAAGTTGCCAGGCATGGGTAAAAATGAATGAGATGTTTGTACCTGTGATTCATTCATAGCGTTGGCAGACATTGCCCAAGACCTGCTTTGTTGTTATACATGTGGTCCCTCCACAGCCCATAGAGATTAATGTCCATTTTGCGGATGAGAAAACTGAGGCCCAGGGAGGTCAGCCAGCTCGTCCTGGAACTCATCCTTGATAAAGCCAGAGTCCCCTTTGAGTGCTGTATGGCTTCAGAATCTGAGCTATCAGATCACTCAAAAGGGGGGACATCCATTCTCTCCAGCAAGGTGGGAAAGGCATCCGGAGAAGTGTGGCATTTGGGCAAAGTCGAGACTGGAAGGCTTGGCAGGAGAGGGCACCTACCTGGTAGCGAGAGAGTCAGATGTTTGCAACTATTCAGTCCGTCTTTCTTGGGTACTGATCTCTTCCGTAAGCTTTGTGTCTAGACACAGAATTATGTGTGGAAAGTGCCAGTGAAGTTGCTGCTTGAAAAACCGCCTTAACCCTCCTCTCTTGGCTCTTCCTCGAGGGATGCTACTGATGGCAGTATGAAAAGTGGATGAAATACTTCCATCTTTGCTGAGATTGTACTCAATAGTTATGAGTGGCAGAATTAAAGGGCCTCCCAGCAACAGATTTAAACCAGGGGGCCCTGCTGGAGGCACCATGGCATCTAGAGGGTCCAGCCATGCCAGGGGATGCTAAGCAATCTTTGAAAACCCACAAGATTTCTTCAGAATTCTTAAGTCAAAATCAGGTCTCATGGCCCATTTGTATAGAAATACATTTAAAATGTAGGACACAGAAGCATGGTGGAACTCAAACTTTTAAATCTATACTAATTTTTAGTATTACCTTACAATGAGCATGTGTTATTTTTGCAATAAGATCTTTAAAAATGAGGTCTTTAAAAGAGAAGGTGGAAGTTCTCTGGGCGAGCTCCCTTAGGAGCAGAGTCCTCAGCTGGGAGGGTTGGGTGTCTTTGTGGGTCTCCTTAGCTTTGTATCTGCCTGGGGTCACCCTCCCCTGAGACCAAAGCCACCAGTGCCTTACACAAGTGCCCAACGAAGGACACCCTGGAAGTGTGAGCTGCTGCTCTTTAGTGATGGTAGCAGATGCCAGCCTTTCACACAGGGCTGAGAACTGGAGTCCTTAGGGGCCAGAATCCCGACAGCTGCCATGGCCGCCATTAACTTGGGAGGGGGCTAGGCTGACCACGGGGCTTCTTGACCCTTGGAACAAACTCTTGGGGGCCTTCCTGCTGTCTGTTAGCAGTTGCCAGAGCGCTGTTGCCTATTGACAGATGGCTCCCCTAGACCCAGTGAGATCTTGAGGCTTGTCACCTCCCTCCCCTAACTCCTCTTCTTTGGGGGATCTTCTTAGGAACACTGTGAGGTTGGTGGTGGATGGCTTTGAGTCCAAATCCACTTAGTAGTGACAGGACTTGGGCTATTCCTGGCTGCTCATTCCAGCCCTTGAAGCATCCACTTGCCATTTGATAAAACAGGCACATGCTCCCTCGCCACGTGGTTGGAAAGGTTACAGGGAATGTTTGAAAGTGGCCAGAGTTTCAGCAGGTTGGTCCTCTTCTCGTGTACTGATTGAGAAGAAAGGTGTGTGCAGAGGTGGAGACCAGCATACCCAAGGCCCCAACTGCTTCTGAAACGGCCCACCACTAGAGACTATTTGGCCATGTCGTCTGCCCTATGCCCAAGGTTCTTGGCACAGCCTTAGGGTAAACAGCCCTGCTGGAGAGTGTGGAGGCTGCTGGAACTGGTCGCTTGAGGTAGGGACAGTCATGAGGCTGGTGGCGGATAGGTGTATTTGGGCTCCAGGGAGTGGAGTCCTGGGTTAGGGTCCGGGAGGAAAGCGTGGAGCTGTTGTTGGCTGCTGTTGGTGAGACTCCCCAGTGAGTGGACGCATGTCAGGCTGTTGGAACAGTCGGGGTCCATAGCTACTCAGTCAATGCCAGCTGCTGCCCTGGTGCCTCATGGGTAGCATTTCTGTGCACCATGCCCCTTGCATAGCTCCTTTCCTGCTTACAGATGAGGAAATTGGAGGCTCAGGGAGTTGGAGTAACCGGCTCAAGGCCACACAGCTAATACATGCCATCCCAGTCCCTCTGGTTCCCAAGCTCTCCTGCTGCCTGCTCACCACACTAATGCCCAGAAGTGTCAGGTTTTATTGCAGTGGCCCCGCGCTCACCTACCTCTGGGCACTTTTCTGATCTAGCCTCCCTCTCTCTGTGCTGGGCTTCAGAGTACTGCAGAGTTAGGGGGGCTTCCTAGCTTGAGAGTGGGAGGCTCTGGCTGCTAATGTTGAAGGCATGGGCGCATGAGCTTTGAGCTTCAGAATGATTCCCCTCAGCAGAGAGGGAGCCGCAGTGACTGGTTTTTAATGCTTACATTATTTATCTTGAGCTTGGAAACAAACATGGAGAAATTCTGGCCTGAAGCAGGTGCAGGGGCAGATGGGGTGCTTGAAGACATAAATCTTGTATCTAAATTGCAGTCCATTAACCGACTTCGTTCAGCAAGATGAGCATGTGGACTGAACCGGGGCACCGGTTTTGGGGGTGTTTCCCCTGCTGGCTTCCCCACCCATCCCGCTCAGCTCTGCTCACACCAACTTCATTGCAGCAGCAGCAACTCCAGGCGCAGCACCTCTCCCATGCCACACACGGTCCCCCGGTCCAGTTGCCGCCCCACCCGTCGGGCCTCCAGCCGCCTGGGATACCCCCAGTGACCGGGAGCAGCTCCGGGCTGCTGGCTCTTGGCGCTCTGGGCAGCCAGGCCCACTTGGCAGTGAAGGATGAGAAGAACCACCATGAACTGGACCACAGAGGTGCGGCTCAGTCGAGGGCAAGGGCAGGGGTGGGTGCTGGCACCTGCGGGCCCCTTGGGGAGTGGACACAGCAAATGCTGCCACCCAGGGACCAGGAGTGGGCTGAAGACTTAGAGCTGTCTCGCCTTCTCTCTTTTTGTTGGTGCTGGAGATAGAACCCAGGGCCTCGGGTGTGCTAGGCAAAGTGCCCCATCACTAGGCAGCACCCGAGCAAGCCATGGAGCCATCTGTTGAATCCCTGGTGCATGGAAATCAGAGCCCCACGCCTGTGCCATACCCCATCCTGAACATCCCTGGTGTCTGCCCTGGCACCTCATGTGCCTATTTGTCTGGAGCCTCCGCCCTTCTTCTGGGCCTGCACAGCCCTTTGTTGCTGTCCTCTCCTGTCCCATCCCCAGGAAATGTCACCAGGATCATCATGTGTCCCTCAGAGAACAAGGGCCAGGTTCTAAGCATAGGGGTTAAAAAGAACTTTGCCCAGTGCTTCACTTGGCCCTTGCCAGGAAGACCCAGGTAGGTCACTGCACTCAGTGGGCCTCACAATGCTTACTGCATCGGCACAGCGCAGCCCCAGCTCACTGATACACCCTTTGCAGATGTTGGCAGCTGTGTTCTCTGCCTTACATGTCTACCGGGTACGTGGCTAGCGCCCTCCAAGCTTCCTGTGCACAGGCCCTTGAGTGTGTCACCCTGGCCTGGAGACCAAGTTTCTTGTTCCCGTAGTGGGGTGGTCCTCTTGGCAGAGGACGAGAGGCTCAGTAGAAGACAGGAGCTGCTGCTTATTAGCTGGCAAACCACAAGAGATCCAAGGGCCTTCTTGGCAGGGAAACAGAATAATAAGGTTACCTTTTTTTTAATCACCCAGTGTCCCTGTGGAGCCGACCCACAGAGACCGAGAGCCAGGCCTCTGCTTGCCTTAAAACCAGGAAGGGATTTTTAGTAAATCCCAAAAAGCCAGCTGGACTGAGGAAACTGACTTTCTCCTTACTTTTTTATCTTTTTTTCTTGGGCATCCTGACCCTCTGCCAACCCTGGCCTTCCTTCCTCAAAAGAGAGAGAATCTGGTGCGGTAAGTGTGTTGCTCTGGGCGCCCTGGGATGTGTGGGAGATGTGGGGCTTGTTTCCAGAACTGTGGCCTTGGGACCTACCTGTGGGTGACGGGAGCTGGCTGTGGGGTCCACCCGGCTGCTCAGTGTGCTGAAGTTGAGACTCCGCGCCGCACGCGCGTGTGTGTGTGTACACCTGGAGCTGGGACACCTGGCTTTCTTTACTGATATGTTGGGGACACTTCTCCTCTAGTCCCAGCAGAGAGATTACTGTCACAAAGCAGGAACTGCTGTCACCTGTTGATTGACCTTCAGCAAGGGAAGTCCTTTGTGTGGCTGGCTCTCCTAGCTTTTGCTTTATTGTTAAATGAGCTCCAACTCCTTTTTAGAGGAAATAATTAGCCAGAAAGATCAGCTGACCAGCCCTGGTCTCTGTGGTATTTGCTGGGCTAAGGACCTGGATGTCCCACACCCTGGTCCAAGGTTCTTAACCCACCCTGCAGCTGGATGCCTCCTGCTGGATTCTGAATCCTCAGTTCCTTCAAATGCCTGAGTTTTCTCCCATTCTGAGCATTCACTTGGTTTAAGAAAGAAAGTGCTAGCAAGCATTAAGGCCAGGCCGCCTGCCTGTCTGCCAGCTCTGAGATTTGTTGTAAATCTTTCTGATCACATTGAGTCTCTGAGGTTCTGTTTCAAGTGAATAAGCCTTCTGAATAAGTGCAGTGGAGTCTGGATTAAAAAAAAAAAAAAATCCTCCAGCGATTAGCAGAGCTATTTTATTCCTCATCGCCATGCTTGTTTCTGGGGCCATCTGATCTGTTAGGATGGCTTTGGTTATTACCTCGTGTTAAGTAGGGCTTGGAAGGTCAGGCAGTTAACTAACCATCCAGACAGCAGCTTCCCCAGGCAGCTCTGCCTCGCCTTCCCTTCCGGGCCCTCCTCCTCCACCCGGCTGAGCATTCCAGCCCCCCTTCAGTGGTGACGCTGCTGTCTCCTCTTGCCCTGTCTACGTGCTCAGAAATCCAGATCCCCATTTGGGCCCAGGAATGGCTAGGTACAAAAGAAAGGAATAATTGAAGCTGAAAATCCACTTTGATTGCTTTAGTGTTCAGCCTCCACAGCAGCATTTGGGGAGAGGCAGTGTGCTTAGATAAGAGTAAGCTGAGATTGGTCACTGGAAGGCTCAGCTATGATTGCAGCTTTGTGAGACATTGGGGAGCCCTTGGCCTTTCTGCCTCAGTTTCCTATGTATGTCATGGGAATAATTTCTACCCAGTGACTCTCAGCTTTGTTCAGAAGACTCTTGGGTCCCAATCACCTGTCCAGAGAGATCTCTCCAGAAATGGTGTTCGAAGCCCAGTACCCTCCCTGTCTTTATCACCCTCGTCCTCCCTTCTCTGACTTTGACTTTGTGTCCCTATGATGCATCCTTCTTGCTAGAGGCCCACGGGCTGCCCCGGAAACTGAGCTCCTCTTAACGCTTGCTCATCCACTCAAGGCGACTCACCAGAGCCCTGGAGAACAGAATGAGAGTGACTCAGATGCCAGGCTGGAGCTAGGGCTGGAGTGAGCAGGATGCATGGGCCGGGCAGCTCAGGGTCAGGGTCCTGGGGCCGTGCACGTGTGATGGTGTTGGAGGTGCAGACTGGAGTAACGAGCCTTTGGAAACCAGGTTGTCAACAGATGAGGCCCATGGCAGGAAGGACAGGGCTGTGTCGGAGCGGGAGGAGGCTGAGTGGATGGGCTGGACGCTGTCCCAGAGGGGTTAGTCTGGAGTCCAATTAGAGGTAGCTTCATTCATATTTCCTTGCCTAGCTGAAGCAATAAAAAATACTTAGTTTTTTGGCCGCCTGCCAGCCAGAGGCGGGCTGGATCGATGCCGCTAAATGCCTGACATGACTCTCCGGTAGCGGCGAGGGTTTTCAGCCTGACTGCATGAGAAGAAAGAGCTCGCTGTTCTCCGAGGCACACACGGAGTTGCAGGGAGAAACACGGGCAGCCGTGCGTCCCCCTCCTCCCTGCCTGCCTGCCCGCCCTTGAGGGGCAGCCAGCCTGAGGGGCTGGAAGCATTTCTGCTTAGCACGGGGTGGCCGCCACCATTGGAGGAAATGAAATAAAATGACGGTGATTTTTTTCTGCTGGCGCTTGCAGCGGCTAATTGAATTGCGGCTATGTGCGCACATGGCCGCGGCGCTCACAGGGCTGTGGGAAGGTTGAGCTGCGGTTCCATTATAACCTCCATTTTTTTTCTTCAAGGCTTGATAACTCTGCCATTTTAATTTGCTTCAGGCAGAAACTTGGCAGGGAAGGGCTGCCCAGAAACCGGCTTAGGAAAGGAAATTAGGTTCTGCTGCGGCTGGCTCCCACACCATGTCCCTCCTGGTGACCCCTGCTCCGGGTCGGCACTAGCCTCCCATAAAATGGGGAGATGAGACAGGAAATATGAGAAGGTCGCTCTTGACACCCTTCTCTTCTGAACAGACAGTGCTCTCTGTCCATCCCCCTTGTCACCTCGTCCCGCCTCTCTGCCCTGCCTGGGGGCCCAGATCCACTGGCACTCTCCTTCCCTGTGAGGAGCCTGAGAGCAGGGACTGTTTCTGTCACTCCTTCCACCGCTGGCATCCAGAGCCAGGCCCGAGGTGGGGAGGGAGAAAAGGGAGGGTGGGCAGGCGTAGTCAGAGCTCTTAGAACAGAGGCATCCAGGACAGGCCTGGACCTCAAAGTCCCCTTCCCACTAGCAGCCACAGGACATCTGCTGTTCCTGGCCTCTCCGTAGTGCTCCAGGATAGCGCTGTCCCCAGGCTCGCCCACCAGTGTTTCTCCACCTCAGCCCATGGTCCATCTGAGTCTGCAGTCCTCATGGGTTTCATCCACACTCTCCGTAGTGGAGGGATAATGCTGTGGCCTGGGCTTCCTCCTGCTGGGGGGCTTTGGGCACAGTCCCTAACTTCTCAGGGCCCCCAGCTTCTCAGGGATGCTTCTCCATACCCTTCTGTGTTTCCTGACTTTCAGAGAGAACAGCCTTGTGACTTTGAGGTTCTTGTGTTTGTGGCCCGGAGGGTTTGGTTTGTGGGATGCAGCCTCTGGGGCCAGGAAGCAGGTGGCTTGCTGAAAGGTTAATTACTTAATCGCAGTGCCTTGCAACAAAGAAGAATCAGGGATGCTCTGGCCAGCTTCTGGGACCAGGCTGGGGAATCAGGGAAGAGCTCCCTGGTGCAGCTCTGGGCTCCCTGGATCTGCAGACACGATTCCGAGGGCCTTCCCTCCCCTGGCCTGCTGAGAGTTCCCTGAATTTAGCTGTGTCCACGGCCGCACGAGAGGTTGCATCAGCACAGGTTCTGACCCCGAATCCTCCTCTTGCTTCCAGAATAATTCAGTGTCACCCTCAGAAAGCCTCCGGACCAGCGAGAAGCACCGGGGCTCCGCAGACTACAACATGGAAGCCAAGAAGCGGAAAGCAGAGGAGAAGGACAGCCTGAGCCGATACGTACGTCCGAGGGTCATCAGCTGGGACAGGACAGGGCCAGAGCTGGGATGGCCCAGCAGGTCTGGGGGTGGGCACTGGGGACATCAGTCACAGTGAGCACTTGAGCTGTTGGGATGGGAGTGGGTGGGTGTCAGTCATCCTGGCCTCGGTGAGGCTGGGGAAGAGCTGTGGGCTCTTCTGTAGGTGGCCCAACAGCCTCAGCTGCCATCATGATTCCCACAGTCCTTGGCCCAAGGGACTGCTGCTGCATCCCGCCCCTGCAGAGAGCAGGTTGACCTCTGCTTTGTGAAGGACGATACATCTAAAACAGCTGGGAAGGACAGGTGGACGTGGTGGGGCAGAGGATGCCCAGGGAGGCTGGGCTAGCACCCACCCTGCAGAGAGGAAGTCTGGTTTTCACCTGGAGCCTTGCTGGGAGAGGGGGCACAGGGTGTGGTAGATGTAGCCTAGACCTCGCATGGTTCAGGTACAAGCTGATGGAGCAGGGAGTAAGTGAGGTGGAGAGAGTACGGCCTCTTAATTCTTACTGTCCTGCTGTCTTCTCTCGGTGCAGGACAGTGATGGGGACAAGAGTGATGATCTGGTGGTAGATGTTTCCAATGAGGTAAGAGTGGGCCCAGGGTGCAGGGAGGTGGGTTGGGACCGTCTCCTGGGGTGGGGTCCACACTCTGTTGCCTGAGCTGGGCAGTGAGTCCTCTGGACTTTGGGCATCAGGAGGAGCAGGGCAGAGCTCTGCTGCATGGTGGCCGGGCATTGTGGGTGATGATATTGCCCTGAGATGGTGCCCAGTGGAAAATCCCCAGAAGACCAGCAGGGGCCTTTGTTCCCCATAGTGCTGTGTGTCAGAGGCCTCTGTAGGGTGGGAGTTGCTGGAGAGAAGCCACACAAGGCCAAGCCCTGCCACACCCCAGCCTCAGTCTCCCCACCCGTGTGGCGAAGGGGTCAGACTGGACTGTGGAGGGTGGGGTTGCCCACCTTGGGGAGGGGCCTTCAGTCTCGGCCAGGAAATCCTCCCATCCATCACCTGTGCCCTCTCCATGCCATTCTTGGGGCTGGGTAGGCTCTAGCCTGGCACGCACAGCATCTCTGTACCCCTTGTGCCTTTAGGACCCAGTGACGCCCCGGGTCAGCCCTGCACACTCCCCTCCTGAGAATGGGCTGGACAAGGCCCGGGGCCTGAAAAAGGACGCCCCCACCAGCCCTGCGTCGGTGGCCTCCTCCAGCAGTACACCTTCCTCCAAGACCAAAGACCTTGGTCATGTACGTGGGGTCCACCCTGGCTTCTGAGGAGATGAGGGAGGGATATGGGCAGGACTGGGGTGATGCTGACAAGAGGGAGCTCAGAGGGTGAGGATCCTGGCTTAGTCACTTGCTGGCTGGGAACTGTCACCATGGCCCCCACTCAGGCTAGGGCTGGGCTTCATGTGGGACCTGTGCTAAGCACTGTGACCAGCTCTTGGGATAAAGGAATCTTCATGGCTTCCTCGTCTCTGCATCTTCCCTCTTCAGAATGACAAATCCTCCACCCCTGGGCTCAAGTCCAACACTCCAACTCCAAGAAACGATGCCCCAACTCCAGGCACCAGCACCACCCCCGGGCTGCGGTCGATGCCAGGCAAACCTCCGGGCATGGACCCGATAGGTATAATGGGTAGGCGCAATGGGTGCTCCGATGGCCGGGTGGGACTGAAGCCCCTCGGGTGGGCTGGAGCACGGGTTGTGTCCGAGCTGCACTGTCCCAGGGCCTGCACTTGGAGGCTTCCCGGGTGGTGTCTGATGTGGGGCTCATGGGGCCCCAGGGAGCATGGGCCAGGCCGGGGCACCCAGACCACTTCACAGGCCCGGCCCCTCCCCACTGATGCCCACCTCCCCACAGCCTCGGCCCTGCGCACGCCCATCTCCATCACCAGCTCCTACGCGGCGCCCTTCGCCATGATGGGCCACCACGAGATGAACGGGTCCCTCGCCAGCCCCAGCGCCTACGCCGGCCTGCACAATATCCCACCGCAGATGAGTGCCGCTGCTGCCGCCGCCGCCGCCGCCTATGGCCGGTCGCCAATGGTGAGCTTTGGAGCTGTACGTAGACCTTTTGGCTCCTTTCTGGGGGGACTGGGCAGGGAGGAGGTAGCTGGTAGGGGTTGGGGTGTGGAGATGGGCAGCTGCCTGTCAGCTGCTGTGTGACTTCCCTACGGGCACACTGGGGGCTGATTTCCTGCTCTGGGGCTAGGAGGGGTGGGAAGCCCATGGGAGGGAGTGGAGTGACATCACGCAGAGGGGCCTCGCTAAGGCGTCTGGTCTGGCTGTGAAAGTAAGACTTGGTCTGCATGGATGAACACCTAAGGCTCTGATCGGTAAAGGGGACCTTGTCCCTGCTGCTGTAGCTGGGGCAGCCCCTCTGTGGAATGGGCCAACTGGAACCAGGAGAGGGAGGCAGGGCCAGCTCTGCGCTGCAGAGCGGGGTGTATACTGCGGCAGAGTTGGGGGTCTGCTACCCGCTCCCTGCTGCTGACCTGGGCAAAGCCCTTGTTCCTCCTGGGTCTGTGCTCTGCCCAGCTTGATCTGAGAGGCAGTCAGGGCAGATGGTGCAGCTAGGCGGAGCAGAAAGAGGGGAAGTGGGTGGGCAGCCGCATCACCAACACTGGACTGCCTGGCCTTTCTTTACAGGTTGGTTTTGACCCTCACCCCCCAATGCGGGCCACGGGCTTGCCCTCGAGTCTCGCCTCCATCCCAGGAGGGAAACCGTAAGCTCTGGCTGTGGGTCCCGCATGCTTGGCAGGTGGTGGGCAAGCGTGCATGCCCCCCCCCGCCACATACTCTCTGAAGGTGTCTGTGCCCCTAGAAGCCAGGTCTGACCCCAGGTCACTGCTGCCCAGGCACACTGCTGCCCAACCCCAGAGGTTCGGGGAAGCAGGGGGTGCTGAGCATATCAGTGCCATGCTCTGGGAGGGACAGGGTGTCCTAACCCAGGTGCACAGAGCTGCTGCAGACCTTGGGAAAGCTGTTGGGTTCTGCTTTCTGGTCATTGCCCTTCAGCTCTTGAGTTGCTGGGACATTGAGGTTGGCGTCCTCAGCCCCTCAGTCAAGCAGACCCATGAGAGGGTGGCCACACTAATCTCAGCTGGCACCAGGCCCTGTGGGCTGTGCATAACTCAGATGTGTTCTCTGCAACTGGCTTTTGGGGATATAGGCAGATCCCCCTCCCCCGACTAATACCCCTGGCTCCTAAAGTGGCACTGTCATTTAGATGGGCCCCTTCCCGGGATGGCATGTTGGGGTACACTACAGTTGGTGGCAAAGGGCATACTGAGATGCCCATAAAGCTCCCCATCTGATTTGGAGCAAGGATTACAAGTGGGAGGAAAATTGAAGGCCGAACTATGAAACACAGTTCCCACCCTGCTGGAGGCGACCCAGGAGCGTGGAGTTACTGGGTGTGAAAGGTTGAAGAGGGGCTGAGGATCAGGACCCTGCCAGGGCCCAGGGGCTGTGCAGGTGTGGAACGGCTCAGAGTGACATTGTTCCTCCCTTCTCAGAGCGTACTCCTTCCACGTGAGTGCGGACGGGCAGATGCAGCCTGTGCCCTTCCCCCATGACGCCCTGGCCGGCCCTGGCATCCCAAGGCATGCCCGGCAGATCAACACCCTCAGCCATGGGGAGGTGGTGTGCGCCGTGACCATCAGTAACCCCACGCGGCATGTCTACACCGGGGGCAAGGGCTGCGTGAAGATCTGGGACATCAGCCAGCCAGGCAGCAAGAGCCCCATCTCCCAGCTGGACTGCCTGGTGAGCACTGAGGGCATCTCCTGCAGGTGTCTCCGCAGGAGCCACAGGAGGCTTTGGAGACCCCTGTGAGTTGGCTGGGCCTCTTTGGGCCAGCTGACTAACCTCTCTGAGCCCTAGTTTCCCCATCTGCAAATGGGGATGATCTTGACCTCCTTCAGTTTGTGAAAGTGTGGCAGGGGAAGGGGCCGCCCTGCCTGGTGTCCAGGTGTGGTGACAGTGACTTTGCCAGGGAGGGGACAGGTGGCACCACTCAGCCCACCCTTTCTCCCTTCAGAACAGGGACAACTACATCCGCTCCTGCAAGCTGCTCCCCGACGGGCGCACGCTCATCGTGGGCGGTGAGGCCAGCACGCTCACCATCTGGGACCTGGCCTCGCCCACGCCCCGCATCAAGGCCGAGCTCACATCCTCGGCGCCCGCCTGTTACGCTCTGGCCATCAGTCCTGACGCCAAAGTCTGCTTCTCCTGCTGCAGCGACGGGAACATTGCGGTCTGGGACCTGCACAACCAGACCCTGGTCAGGTGAGGCCAGGAGGAGAGCTCATGTCTCCGACTGTGGGGTGGCACCCGTCCGGCCTGAGGCATGGCAAGGGGGAGACAGCTGGGCCTGCCTCTGTCCTCGAGGGCAGCAGAGGCCCATGGAGGGTGTGTGGGGAGAAGGTAGAGCCCGGCTCATAACCCAGCACAGTGGCAGCCATCGGTGCCGCCCAGTCGGCCCCCAGTACTCAGCAGCTGTATGTCTTGGGGGCGTGGAGGAGGATGGGGGGATTAAGCACCCCACAAGTCCTGCAGACGGGCTGCTTTCTCTGAACGATCCCCCGGTGAGCCTTCCTTACCTCCAGTTCACCTCGGGTCCCCGTGAGGGAACTGAGTCTCAGAAACCTGTACCGTGCCCCCCATTACCCCCTTTTCCCAGGGCCCTGCCCCTGCCCAAGGCCACCCCAGGAGAGTGGGAGAGAGGGCTGGGCCATTCTGCTTCCTGCTTCCTAAGCGATTGTGGACGTAGTGAACTGCGCTGGGCCTCAGTTTCCCCTCTGCTGACCCCCCTGGAGGGGCTGCCAGCCTGGGGGTCGGGCTCCCTGAGGCACTCACCCTTCTTTCCTGTGCGGCCTCCGTAGGCAGTTTCAGGGCCACACAGATGGGGCCAGCTGCATAGACATCTCCCACGATGGCACCAAGCTGTGGACCGGGGGCCTGGACAACACTGTGCGCTCTTGGGACCTGCGGGAGGGTCGCCAACTGCAGCAGCACGACTTCACCTCCCAGGTGTGTGCTCAGGGTATCCCCACCCCTCCCAGGACCCCAGTGCACGGGTGAGGTGACAGAGGGTCCTGCAGGGTGGGCATTGCCCGAGTCTTGTGTCCCGGCAGGGCCTTGGAGTTGCACCGCTGGACCTGCCTGTGGGGCTGCCCCCTGGCTCCACTTGCTGTGTCCTCAGTTTTCCCACTGAGAGGTGGAAGTGACCACAGCTGACTCCTGGGTCTGCTAGGGGCGCCTGGCGTGCTCCCTCTAAAAGCTTTGGCCTTGAGCCCAGCTCGTAGATGACGATCCGTAATTCCAGGCATTGCTACTTCTCGTTATTTTCACTACACCACTGTTTCGGTCTTAAATATTTAATAAAGTAGTGTTTTATCACTTAGTGTTATTCCTAAGGAGGGACCAGAGCTGCAGGGGCAGGGGGTGCCCTTGGAAGGGACTCCATACTTCTGGGCTTGAACCCTGGCTCCGCCACCCTCCTTCTGGAGGCAGCAACCTCTCTGAGCCTGGCTGCTTTCCCTGGAGGGTGGGCCGGAAGTGGCATCCATCTCCTGGCGGTGGACAGGGGCGCTCTATAGCTCGGTCTACAAATGGCAGAGGGGGGAGATAGGGAGCCCTGGCGTGAGAGTGGAGGGTGCTGAGCCGTCTGTCGCCTACCCGCAGATCTTCTCGCTGGGCTACTGCCCCACCGGGGAGTGGCTGGCTGTGGGCATGGAGAGCAGCAACGTGGAGGTCCTGCACCACACCAAGCCGGACAAGTACCAGCTGCACCTGCACGAGAGCTGTGTGCTCTCCCTCAAGTTTGCCTACTGTGGTGAGTGGCTAACCTCTGCTTCAGGAATCTCCCAGGGAGTACAGTCCCTGATTTTAACCTCAGGTCCTGCTTTTCCCTGACCCAGCTCCCCACCAGCCCACCCCTGGGTGGCAGAGAAAGGCATTTTCTGGGTGTCCATGGGTTGTGCAAGGGGACCGTCACGCTGGGCACTGGTTAGCCGTTCTTACCATGTTGCCATGGCGGCTGACCACATCCGGGGCGGGTCCTGCTGGAGCCATAGCCTGACAGCACCTTTGCTTCTGCCTGCAGGCAAGTGGTTCGTGAGTACAGGGAAAGATAACCTCCTCAACGCCTGGAGGACGCCCTACGGAGCCAGTATATTTCAGGTACCATCAAGCCACCCAGGGCTGGGGGCAAGGATGGCAGGAGGCACAATAGGAGGAGCTAGGATTGCACCTCCCCGTCCCCTTTCCTGCCCCTGGGGACCAAGGATGGCTTCTCCAGAGGAGAGGGCATGTGGACTGGAGGGGACTTGCATATAGCTACTGATGGCTTCTGGCCCTGAGGGTGAGGGCTTTTATGTGAAGGCAGGGCTCGTGTGGGCTCTAGAGAGAGCCAGAGGACATATTTGGGACACACTCAAGCAACCCCTTTAGCCAGTGATACCTGTCCAGGTGCACCTGGCCACCCACCTCACGGACACATGAACACGTGATCACACACTCGAGCCCCCTCAGCCACTTTCTGGTCTCGTGCTGAAATGTCCGGTGAACCAGGTTTCACCTTTGAGTCTCTAGCTGTGTAGAGTGCTCCAGCTCAGGATGGTCCTGGCGGTAATGCTGACAAAGACAAGCTCTCATTTTCCTGTTTCCACCCTGTGACACCCTGCTAATGAGCTGCTCCTTCCAGGGCTGGAGAGGAGGTGTCTGCTATGCCCAGGGCTGGAGCTGCCAGCCAGGCAGGTGGAGGGGGGGTGGTGGTGGGGTGGTCATGTTGATCACATCTCCGTGGTGTGCAGGCCACATGGAGGACTCAGCAAATCGATTCCTGTCTTTTTTCTCTTCTCCCCACGCCTTCCTGCTTCTCCTTATCTTCCGACTTCAGTCTAAAGAGTCCTCATCTGTCTTGAGTTGCGACATTTCGGCGGATGACAAATATATTGTAACGGGCTCTGGTGACAAGAAGGCCACGGTTTATGAGGTCATCTACTAAACAAGGACTGTAACAGAGCTGTCACACTCTGGGAGAAGCCACCTCGGCGCCAACAGGGAGACCCCAGCGAGCCCCCCGAGGTCGCAGAGGACCTGCCGCCAGCATCAGGTTCCCGGCTGTGCTCCGGAGGGCTGCAGGGGCGTGGCCTGTCATGGCCTGGACCCTGGGCACGGATTGATGTGTCATGAACTTGGATGGATTTGCTCCTCCTCCCCATATCGTGCTGGCAGATGCTACAAATAGATTTATTTGGAGGCTTATGGCTCCCAGTCCAGTCCCCACAGACACCTTCATGAATCTTGTCTCTTCCTCCCCTTTCTTTTGCCCTATCCCTTCCTTGCCTTGGGTTGGGGGGCACTGGAGTGGACCACTTTGTTGTGCCGGGGAGAGGGGAATCTGGTTCCCGATTGTGCAGTGCACAAGGCTTGTGAAAAATGTAAATAACGAGACTCCAATCTCAGGCTGGTCAGTGGGGAGGAGACCCCTTCCCACGGGAACCTTGCCGTGTAGTTCGCCTGCTGTATTTGCAAACCACGCGTGGTGGTGGCTTGTTTGTTTTGTTTTGTTTTCCCTTTTTTCTTTTGAAGTGAAGTTCCCATTGGGAAAGAGGGCAGGGAGGGAGCGACTGGGAGAAATGCTAGGGTGCAGTGGCGAGCTACACCCCGCAGCTAGATGCCCCAGGGTACCCCTTGGGGGTTTGGGCAGTGTCCGAAGCCTGTCTGGATGGAGCGTCGCAGACAGGTGGAATGGACTGGGCCAATGTCTACAGAAATGGCTGGGTTTTTCTGTGGGTCTCCTTGAGTCGCATCTTCCACTCTGTGTGCCCTGGGCCCTTCTTTCTCGGTGTCCACCCTTCATCGGCATGGGGGTCCGAGGTTCTTCAGAACCTCCTCTCCAGCTCTTCTTACCTTTCGGATGCAGCCTGCAGAGGACACATGCTGGAGGGAAGTGTAGCCACTCAGCTCAGGGAGCCACCAGAGACAAACAGCAACTGATGTGGGTGCATTTTTTTTTAATTTGAATAAAAAGAATTAGCAGTGATGTCCCTTTATAAAATGCCTTCTCCCCCTTTCATGCCTTCAGCCACTTCATCTCCTGCCAGGAGGAGGGAGCGTCTTAACCTGCAGGGCTGTGAGTCTGAGAAGCGGCTTCTCTAACCCTGACCTGGGCAGGGCAGTGGGCTGGGGACACAACCTGGCACACTGTGGTGACCCTTGCAGCCTTCTGTCATGAGCCGGTCAGGTTACAGGGACAGTGCTATCCTGTGGGTACCAAATGTTCTGAAGTATTAGGATTTTGTTTTCGTTTTCATCATTTTCCCCCCCTTTTGAAAGAAAAAGAAAGGGCCGTGTGATTCCTGGTGGTGGGCTCTCTGTGGATGTAGCATATGGAAGATAATTTTTATATGCATTTTTATGGATTATTTTATAATGTGATTCTCTCTGGTGTGAAGGAAAGGGGCTCCCAGGAAAACTGTCTTGTCTCCAGGGCTCCCTGGCTGCACTGCCTGGCAGGATGTGGAGTTGGACATAGGAGCCGGAAGGGCACCCTGGACCTTGCTGAGATGTGGGGTGTCTGGGGGGGTCTCTCTCTGTCTCTCACTGGTGGCTTCACCAGAGCAATCACCTAAGGTTCTGGCCAGGAGGGAGGGAGGGCAAGGGTAGAAGAAAGTTACTCCTACAGCAAAAAAGTAAATGAAAATTCATTGTAATGAGCTGTTTTTATATTTTTAAAAGTTATTATTTAAAGGTTGGTTTGACTGTTGCGTTTTAATTTGCTTTCCCCCCAGCGTGTCATTCTCCCCTACGAAATCCAGGGCCAACGTCCCACATCCATGCCCTTCCCCAAGCCACCTCACACCTAAGAAGTCCGATTGAGCCGGGCAGTTCAGTGGGAAGTGATGTCCACAAGCCCAAGCCTGTGTCACCTCCCCAGGGAGGGGTGGGCAGAGGTGGGGTGGGAGACCATGGGAAAGACGAGGCCCCATGGCATTGTACAAGGACTGGCTGGGCATGACATCTTGGGGAGGAAACAAAAGTTAAATATGAATTTCAAGTGAAACCGTAGTGTGTGAATAATCAGAATGTGGAAGATTGCAACTTTTTTTTTAAGCCTAACAAGTGCAAGTTTAAATGAAGAGACCTCCATCTCTGGGTCACAACGGGTTGTTTTGAATAATTGAGAAATGAGGGTTTGCAGAAGGGGCAGCCAATAAAGGCTAATGTGTTAACTTTTGATGCTGGTACTGACACCCAACTTATAGGAGACGTTTATTTGGACTCACGGTTTCAGTGTTGAGTAGATGGTGGTCAGCCTCCAAGGCACAAACATGGTGGGAGGGTGTGGAGGGGGGCACTGCTCACCTCCTGGTGTCTAGGAGGCAGAGCAAAGACCTGGGAACTTCCTCCAACTGGGCCCCACCTCCTGACAGTCCATTTAGCTATGAACTCAGTGAGTCGCTCTGTTGCTCAGCTTTGTACCCTCGTAATTCAGTTGGCTTCTGAAAGGTCGCCTCGCTGAACCCATGAGCCTGGGTTGGGGGTGGAGGGGATTTTTTACCTAAACCACCATATCAAGAGGTCATGGAAGAAAGGCCTGGTGGGAGGTGGAGGGGAGAGCTAGGGCCAAGGAATTCCTGGTGTTTGTTCCTGGCCACCTGGACTTCACTCCAGTAGAAATGAAGGTTAACATGGACACTAACTCCTTATTTTTGTCAAAGTCACTATAAATCAAAAATAGTTGCCAGCTGTTGTTGCATAAAAGGAAGGGGGCAACATGTAAAAGAAGTGGCCACAGAACAAAGTGCTGTCTTTATACCTAGGAAAGGTAATTTTCCCCACTCACAGGGGTGTCTTCGGGTCCTCAAGTTTATGGGGGGGGAAGCTCACACAGGAGGAGGAGCCAAACCTGGCCCTAGGCATGGTCTCAGCTGTGTTCTGATCCTGTGGCACCGAGTAAAGCAACCCCTCTGCACTGTCCCTTTTCTGTCCCTGTATGTGGTTTGTAACAGAGGGCTGGTGGGCCATGGTGGCCTCTGGCCAGACTAAAATTCTGTGGGTGCCCTGGACTTGAGCTTGCACATGAGTGCCAAGTAGGGGTGAAGGTAGGGTTCGCAGGCCCCAGGTGGGTAGAAGAGAAACACGTCTTACCTGTGGATACACCTCTGGGCCTAGCCAGCTAGGAGAGAAGGCCAATGTCATGTCCGTCTCCAGGAAGAGAAGATAATCTGAAAGGCTGCTCTTGCTTGAGTTCCTGGGCCCGGTCAATGGCAGAGAGACAAGACTCGATCCCTGCTGTCAAGAAGACAGGCAGGGCCGGGGATTTAGCTCAGCGGTTCGGTGGCCTCCCTTGCAAGCGCAAGGACCCGAGTTCAATCCCTGGTACCCCCCCAAAACAGACAGGCAGGACACAACCTCCAGTAGGCGCTCGCCAGTGTCCTCGTCACCCATACACAAGGGTATCTAATGCTTCTCTCCACTGCTCTCCTTTCATGCATCTGGGGGAGCTTGTTAGCCAGAATCTCAGCCCCTGCTACATCTTACTGAAGATATGTTTCATGTTCTGCGTGTCCAGTGCATGGTAAAGTTTGCTAAGTGCTCTTCTAATACCTGCAGATTGTCCACCCTCTTAATAGGGTGGCAAGAGGCCTTGATACCACTTTTCTACCGTTTTAGTTTTATTTTTACTTATTTTAAGCCAGAGTCTGTGTAGCCCAGCCTGGCCTTGAACTCATAGGAATCCTCCTGCCTCAGCTTTCTGGGTGCTGATTACAGACTTGTACCACCACCATACCTGGCTTCTAGCCTTTTTTAAAATCACCTTGTAACTATTCTTTTGCTCTGAGGCAAAAATGGAGGCTTTCACCAATCAGTACTTGCAGGCTTCCCCTGCATTTGTTATCCTGTCTGTCTGGCCAGCGAGACTGGTTTCTGCAGGGCAGCACACATAGCATCCTCGGCCCAGGGCAGTACTAGTGACCACTAAGCCTTCACCAGCTCCAGAAGTAGTATTCTAATTCACAGTGCTAGGGTAGTGCCAGCAAGTGCTATCTGGAGTTCTTTGGACTCTTGTATCGCTTAAAACAAGATCTGTTTTTTTGTTTTGTTTTAAAGGAGCAGGCATGACTGAGGCATCCATAGTGCTCTTAGATCCCACCAGGTTAGATACAAGTCCAGGCCATCCCAGTCAACAGCTGACCTAGCTACCCCTCCTAGCCCCTCACTGGGGCACGGCCCTTCCCATGCTTACATTCTCAACTCCAGCATGGGCAGTGATCCCCCATCAAATCCCTCGCTCCTACGTCAGTGAGGAAGGACAGGATGCAAAGAGGTAGCTGCCTAGAGGACTCTGGCCTTGTTAGAGGATCAGTATCCAGGATGGAAGGCCTTTTGTCCCATCTTTTTTTTTTTTTTTTTTTTTTTATTTGAGGAAGCCACTGCGTCCTGCCCATGCCTGCCTCTGGCGGGACAAACAGGAACAGTCAGGGTGCTCTTCCCGATTTTCCCACCAGAAAGTGGCCTGCGGTTTCTGAGACCCCTGCCTTCCAGGGACGCTCTGTACTTCGGGTTTCTTTTTCTTTTTTTCTTTTTTTTTTTGGTTTTTTGAGACAGGGTCTCACTACGTAGTTGAGACTGACCCGGAACTCACTATGTAGCCCAGGCTGGTCTCGAACTCACAGCCATCCTCCTGCCTCAGCCTCCCAAGTGCTGGGATTACAGGCACGAGCCACCACGCCCGGCCTGTCCCATCTTGATCCTCTCGGAAGGGAGGCAGCTCAGAACAGTCATGGAAACCAGGGTCCTACCTTGAGAACATCCTCAAACTCTCCCAGCTGCCCTACCCATTCTTCCATCACCCACCCGTCCAGCCATTACCCACCCTTTCATCTATCCATCCAGATAGCCTGTCCACCCATTCATCCAATGTTCGTGTCATGAGAATCTAATTTGTGTCAAGCATGATTCTATCTGCTAAGATGCAAAGATCAATAACGCAATGTCAGAGCTCTGGGCCACAGGGAAGCAGCAGCTACAAAAACAGTTACTACTCCATGGGTTCTGAGAAGATGCAAGCTAGGAGATGTCACAGCACGGTGCTGAAGCACTAACCTGGGAACAGAGGGGTAAGGCAGGGAATCTTGGAATCCTCACAATCTACCCTGACCCAGCCCTATCTCGTTCTCACCCCCGATGGCTCTGAATTCCAATTCTTGCTGCCTGTCCCACCCGTCTCCTCCCTGCCTGAAGTCAGGAGAGGATCCCAGGCTGAGCAGGCTGGGGATCCAGGAGGGAGGACCTGGGCAGAGAGCACAGTTCCAGACTGAGCAAAGAGAGGCAGGAGAGGGTGAGGAAGAGACTGTGACTTCAGAGAAAGCCCAGCGAGGTGGATGCTGGGTATTTATTGGCTCTTAGAACAAAAATAATTAGAGCCTACCGCTTCATTAATGGGAGGATGGACTTTTACAAAAACTATGCATTTTCCTATATAATGAAATTGTTCATAGGCATTAAAATGCATAAGCCAGATCTTTATATATCAACTTGGATAAGTCTCAAAAAACAATGTGTGAAAAGAGCAAGTTGCAAAGAGAAATACATGATATGATTCTATTTATGTAAAATATAAATCTACACAAAACAATTCTATATCTGAAAAAATATATATATCACGCCCCATCTCATCAGGATAACAGTGGTTTTCTATGGGGAGGGAGGTACGGGAAATGAGAGTTGGCCAAAGTTCAGCTCCACCTATCACATTTTATTACTTTTTTTAAAATCTGAAGATGTTAAAATATGCACAGTTTAGAAATTCGTGTGGTGACTTCGCTAGTGTTGTGTTCTTTTTTCTACCCGCGTGTCTGAAATATTTCATAATCAAAGATTATTTTAAAAGCAAAGAAAGCCAGAAAGATCAGGACTTGGTCTGGACGTGCCCGCTGCTGCGGGTTCTGGTGACAGAGGGGTCTGGGGTGGAGTGGCAGCCCCAGGGCCAAGAAGGGAAGCCCCAGCTCACTGGTACCTGGGCCACACGTCACTGGGTCTCCCCGGTCCTCATCTTATCCCTGCCACAATGCCCAGGCTGGGCAAAATCATCAACTCGGCAGGGATGACATCAGAAGGACTTCTTCAGCTCTTCAGTGCGAAAAATGCCAACCAGATGCAAAAGGAAAGAGAAGAGGGGAAGGAGTCTCCAGTCCCCCCCGCCCGACAGCTGTACCACTTACCACCTCAGGCACCCTGCGTCCTGTCACCCCAGCCAAGCCCACCCAGCCTCCGCGGCTGGAGTGTTCTCGGAGGAACTGCCACACACTTACCTCTTCGCTGAGTCAGGAAATGTCTCCAAAGTTCCCCTATTGTCATAACTTTAAAAAAAAAAAAAAAGTTTGTGTGAAATAGAATCAAAGTCCATATGGAGCAAATATTAATAGATTTTTTAGGTTCCTCCCCTCGCCGCCTTCTCTTCCTCCTCTTCCTTTTGGTCTCTCTCTCCCTTTCTCTCTTGCACACACACAGACTTACTTATTAAAGACACCAAATTATCTGTCCTTAGCGCTCCGCACAGCCCCAATTCTGCTGATTGCTAAAGTGTAGTTAGATCTCCAAGCTTGATTAGATCCAGCCTTGGTTTTGGGGGGCTGACAAGCCTACTTATACATTCACTAGAAAACGGGTAGTATCCACGCGCGGCTTTTTTTTTGCGGCTCTTTTTTTTTTCTGCTTGTTAGCAGTCACAATGATCATTGTGCAGATACATTAATTCATTAGGGTTACAAAAGGGTGAGAATGGGACTGTGCCTTTTTCTTCTTGTTACAAAGAGAACCTATTTTTCATCAACCCTTTGGACGCATTGAAGCAAAGTTTATAGGAGAAGCAGGATAAATGCTTCTGGGAGTTTTT